ATCAGTCATGGAGACTCGGTGCCAAATTCAAATGCAGAAACCAGTGCCTTAAAACTATGATAATTACATAAACAACTATGTCCAACATTCATTTACAATTTAATTCCCTTTTTTTTTTTTTTTTTTTTACTATGCCTTCTTGGTTTTGAAATGTGTAAGTCATTGGTCATAATCAGTGCTATGGAAATTTGTAACTTCATTTAGCTCTTAAAACCCTATGGATTTGGGCCAGCACATGTGTGGTAGTTTAGGCACTGGACTCCCACATGGCTAACCACAGTTCAAATCCCAGTCCTGGTGTTTTAAAAATTATATCAGGAGCATGTGTTTGTGTGCCCAGAGTCCTGAGAGGACAGTGAAGGAGAAGAGACTGCAGCGTGGCCATCCTCCCTGGAGGGTGATTTTTCACTTTCTGTGTGTCTCTCTGTCTGTCTCTGGCAAGCGCACATGCCCTGTGGCAAAAACTCAAAACAGTAATAATAAAACCTAAGGATCCAGATCGAAAGCAACAAGTACCCTCATTTTTCAGGCATCCTTCTTTTATGTCTCTTTGGTCTGTGTTCTTACCTCTTTTTTCACGTACTACATGATTGACATTCCCTCTTAAGATAGCATTGTTTTTCTTCATTAAGACTTTATGCTCCTCCAGGGAAGTCCTCTTTGCTTCCCTAGTGCCTGGCATAGCTAAGAACTCTGTCAATGTGTCTTTCTGCAGTGCTCCTTCTGAGTCCTCACACTCGGCTCACAGGACAGCAGTGGGCCTTGAGAAGGCACATTCGATTAGGAGTCAGCATGTGGGCCTCTCTGTGTCCCTCTAGCCAGGAAGGCTGGCAGCCACCTGAGTATCCTCTTCAAAGTAGCAGGATAGAACCCTAACAATAAATGTCATGGCTTAAAAAGCAAAATCAAAAACAGAAGAAAAAGGAACTGAAATGCAAATATGATACACAAAATTACACAAGTTATTTCCCTGTTTTAGGTTTTGAAATAGGCTTCTGTGACATACTCTTGTCTTATTGTATTTCCTTATCAAATTCAAAGTTAATTGAATCTCTTTTTAAGATGATATTCAGGGGACCAGTAGGTGATATGGTAGTTGAGGTGCTAGACTCCCACCTACATGGTCAACCGTGGTTCAACTCCCAAACCTGGTGGTTTGCTTTCTCACTCCCCTCCTCCCTGTGTCTCTTCTCTGATCAAATTAAAATAAGTAAAAATAAATAAATAATTTTTTTGCAGGGGGCGGGGAGGTTTTTGCTATAGGGCATGTGCGCTCGCCAGGAAGACAGAGAGACAGAAAGCGAAAATTCACCCCCCAGGGGGATTGGCCACACTGCAATCCATTCTCCTCCATTCTCCTCTCAGGATCTTGGGCACGCACACACACACACCCAGCGTGAGTTTGAGCCACCAGGTCCAGGATTCAAACCACGGTCGACTACTGGGGAGTCCAGCAACATAGCCATTAACTCTAACTGCTGGTCCCAATAATTATTTTTTTAAAAAGATGATATTCAGAGGAATATGCATTCTTAATTTTCAGAGTACTTTGAATTGCATTGTAATTTCTATGTTATATTCACAATATGCATGACACAGGAAATCCCACTGAAATAACTTTTTATTTATATGTTCTAGAAACTGGAAATATGAGGGTTTTGTGCAGAGAAAGACAAAATCATGGGATAGGATGGGGGAGGATACAAGAGAAATTAAGGGAGTTTCTCATTTTCCATTATGAATTTTTTTTAAGTGGGAAGTTTTCTGCTATAGGGTTTGTACGCCAACAGCGAGAAAGTGAGAAATCACTCCCCAGGAAGGATGTCCATGATGCAGTCCGTTCTCCTCTTGGAATTTTGGGCATGCACCCACACATGCCTCACGTGAGCTTAAAGCCACTGGGTCCTGGACTCAAACCACAGTCGGCTATGTGGGAGTCCAGTGCCCCAACCACTATGCCACTTGCTGGCCCCTCCACTATGAAATATTAAAGAATGAGAGTGGGTTAAGGATGGTAATGTAGCAACATGACACAGGGAAAAGCTAAACTAAAAATTCAAGGAATTTATTTCTCTGCCATTTTTATCACTTGATAGCTGTGTCTTGGGGAGATTATTCAACCTCCATTTTCTTACCTGTGAAGTGAGTACATAAGTAAACCTGTGTGAGAGGGAAAGAGA